GGGTCTTTGGGGGTGCCTTGCATCAACATTCCCAGTTGTGATTGTTCCTCGAGAGGAAGAAAGTAGGGATCTAGTTATGAAGAATTGGCCTCCTTCACGGGGTATCTGCTGCAAATATTCAAGTTGTATCACTAACTAGCTCAGTGACTTGGTTTCCTTATCTGTACAGTGGAGGGGTAGGGGTATTGCCCACTGTCTCTGAGCCCCTTTCTGGATTCTACATGTATCCAGTCTTAATTCCCCATTTCTCCAACAACACGTTCCCTAGAATTTACCGTGGTGGCAAATCTTGATATTCTCCCCAGCAACTTTTTTATAATAGAAATCATTAGTTTAATCAGCTTTGGCTTATTGTCATTTGCATTTTAAACGTTCGATTTCTAAAAGACTGTTAAGGTTGTCGCAACTTTACCCAATGGTGTGCGAGTGCTGAAGCCTGCCAGTTAACTCAGATGGTCACGGCACCAACTGCTTCCCGTCAGAAAGGCTGAATCACTTAGGAGCGCCTACCTTTCAAGGGCCAAATGATTCACCAAGCCAAGTGACTTTGCAAACTGGGATAAGGGGCGTAGGATATTAGACTTCCTTTTAGTCTTCTTCCCCTTCTGGAGATTTAGATGTGGATTCTCTAATGGCAACTTGTTTTTCTCTTTTGTCTTCTTTCCAAAGCAATATGTACTTGTAAGAACCACAAACTGTACATACTTATATAACACAGAATGCAGAAAGTTCCCTGTTTTCCCTCTCTAGAGAGAGCCACCCTCAACAGTTTGGTGAAATTCCTCCAGATTGTTTTCTATTCTATATATTAACATTTTTTTAACAACAAAAAAAAAGAGAATGTGTTTACACATACTATTTTGCATCTTTCTTTGTCTCCTAGCAATATGCCTTGGAGATTTTTCCATCATATATATATATGAGAGATATATATATATATATATATATATATATATATATGTCCATCTCATTTTTAACAGTGACATTGGTTTCCATGACATTATTACATCAGGAATGATTTAATTAGTCTCCTCCAATCTGACTCTGGGTGCCTCCCAAATCCAATCCTAAGACAATGTCTTGGGCTCAGGTAAACTACTAAGGAGGTGACCCCGGGAAGTACTGATAAGAAAGTGGGGAAGTGAGGCAGCAAAGGGAGGCAAGCCAATCGGGGACATTTGATAAGTGGGTACCTGCAGCTTTGGAAGGTCCCCAAGACCATCAAGTGATTGGCTGGAAGGATTCACAGACTTAGAAAAGCTATTATTATTTTTTTTAATGTTTATTTTTGAGAGAGAGAGTGAGTGGGGGAGGGGCAGAGACAGAGAGGGAGACAGAAGATCTGAAGCGGGCTGTGCTGATGGCAGTGAGCCTGACGTGGGGCTCGAACTCAGGAACCATGAGATCATGACCTGAGCCGAAGTCAGATGCTCAGCTTACTAAGCCACCCAGGTGGCCCTAGAAAAGCTATTATATTTGTGGTTATGGTTTATTACAGAAAAAGGAAACCAATTCAGCTCAGCAAAGGAAAGAGGCACGCAGGGCAGAGTCCAAGAGAGACCACACACAAGTTTCCATTCGCGATCTCCCAGTGGAGTTGTCAGGACGGCACTTAATTGTCCCGATTAAATGGAAACACACTTGGAGGGTTGCCAACCAGAGAAGTTCACTCAAGCCTTGATATCTGGGATATCGATTAGGGGATCAGTCTCATAGGCATCCCAGTGGCTGACCCTAGTCTCCAGCCCCTGCAGAGGTCAAACTGCTATTGTGTGGCCCAAGCACCCCACTGTAAATCGTAGCTAGCATAGACTGGCATGGCCCAGGCAGAGGGCTCTGTTTGGCTGAGGTTGGATGAGATCCACAGAGATTCGGGTGGCCTCTGGGGTGGGCTGGGGGCGGGTGGACGGGGCACCACAAGCCTCAGCTACATTTCTTCATGGACATTTTTATTATTTCCATTTTTCATTCTTTTTAAAATGTATTTATTTATTTTATTTTAGAGAGAGTGCATGAGCAAGGGATGCAGGCAGTGGGGAGGGGGGAGAGAGAGAGAGAGAGAGAGAGAGAGAATGAATCCCAAGTAGGCTCCACGCTCAGCACAGAGCCCAATGCGGGGCACAATCCCATGACCCTAGGATCCCAACTTGAGCTGAAATCAAGAGTCTGATGCTCAATCAACTGAGCTACGCAGACGACCCTCCATTTTCCATTCTTACAATGTTCTAGAGCAGGAGTCAGCAAACTTTTCCATAAAGGGCCAGAGACAAACTATTTTCAGCTTTGCAGGCTACACAATCTTTTTGGCAGGTCCTCAGCTCTGCTACTGTAGTGTAACAGCAGCCATAGACAGATGGGTTTGACTGGGTTCCGATAAAACTTTATTTACAGGGGCACCTGGTGACTCATTTGGTTAAGTGTCTGACTCTTGATTTCAGTGCAGGTTGGGATCTCACAGTTATGAGATCAAGCCCTGTGTCCGGCTCCATGCTGGGTGTGGAGCCTGCCTAAGATTCTCTCTCTCCCTCTTCCCCTCCCCTGCTTACATGCCTAGGCACACGCTCTCTCTCTCAAAAAAATAAATACATAAAAATTTTATTTACAAAAAGCAGGTAGTGGGCCAGATTTGGCTTAAAAGCTCTAATATCCAGGTATTATCCATTATCTAACATCCAGAGAATACCCTTGTATGTATATGGTTGTCCGTTTGTGCAGATAAATCTATGGGATAAATTCCTAGAAATGGAATTGTTGGGATCACAAGTTAACAACATTTTTATTTTGAGTAGATACTGTGGAACTCTCACAAAAGTTGAACCAACTTCCTCTTTCACCAGTAGTGCATGAGAGTGTTTGAGAAGTCCTTTCTTTATTAAAACTCCTTTCCTTTCCCAAGGAAAACCTACATCCATTTACTAGGATGTATCTGCATTTTCCTTCTTGATCTTTGGAGAGGCAGAGGAAGATAGGATATCTTGCCCCCAAGGAATGCCTGGAATGGCCTCATGGTAGTTATCTTCCTTTACCAAGGCCCATAGAGAAGGGGACTCTGGTAACTTGTTTCTGTTTGGTGAGATCAAACCTTACACTACTCACGAGGCATGGTTCAAAACAATCATGAGTGTTCCCTTTTCAAAAAAAAAAAAACTCAATGTTTCAGAGAACTCCTTAGTAATGTCCCTTATTAAGCAAAGATTCCAGTCCTAGTTTTTCACTTCTGTAAGGGGTCTTCACATAAACCAGATTACCCATGCATACCGAAGACTTAACCAAGTTACAAAAAATATACATGGTCCAATTTTTGTCCACATTACTGACAGATACTGGACCCTTGAGTGGTACTAGACCTGAGTGGTACAGGTTAACCTTGTTCATCCTGGGTCTTTTTGGTTTTTAGACAATGGATGGGATTTTGGGTTTTGTTTTTCCACTTTTCTTTTTTTCTTCCCATTCCCCCCCCCTCCCCAATTTTCATCATTTAGAATTCTTGGTATGAACCCCACAGGGGAGAACAGAGGCTCATTAGCATTCAAGCTCTGTTTTTGGCTGCATATTTTAGCTGGTTTATTTGATAATCGGCATCCCTCCTGGGATCCAGCCCGCTTTTGCTCGGCTCATGCTGGGTGAATCTGTGATATTTCCCATTCTGCAGCCCTTCATTTATAACACAGACACAGCCTGCTTTCCCGTTATCGAGATGGCATGCCCGGACTACCCACACGCAGATAAAGAATTAGGCGGAACTTGGCTGAGAAGATAAATCAAGCTAACTATCTCATTAGGTTTGAAAGACACAAATTAAGCTTGCATTAGAATTAACAGGGAAGCCTTCCAAAGAGATGCGCAGTACGACAAGGGGTAGAAGACATCGCCATGGTCGTTTTTCTCAGGGAACTTGCCTTCATGGCCTGGAACAGAGGAAACATAAAAATCTCTTTTATAAAAGGTCCACAGACAGAAATCTGGGTTCAAAATAGCAGTATAACGTTCATCAGGTGCTTTTCTAGGTACTGTGTACTGAGAGCCTTCCACACATTATGTAACTGAAACCTCACGATGACTTGTGAGGTAAAGTACTGTCAAGATTCCTGTTTCAAGGCACCCGGGTGGCTCAGTCCATTAGACATCTGACTCTTGATTTCGGCTCAGGTCATGATCTCACCATTTGTGAGGTTGAGCCCTAAGTCGGGCTCTGTGGAGTTAAAGGGGTTCTCTTTATCCCTCTCTCTGCCCCTCCTTCCTGCTCGCTCATTCTCTCTCTTTCAAAATAAATAAATATTTAAAAATTTGTTTAAAAAAAAGATTCCTGTTTCACCTAGGAGGAAACCGAGTCTCAGAAAGATTCTTCATTTGTCTCACGGTCCCAGAGCTAGCCGAATGACCACCCAGAGTGTCTGGCCCCGTGGCCCGCAGCTGAACCCAGTCGTTCTTATCCAGTGTGAACTGACCCCGAAGGGGATATTGGACCCGGCTGCATACATGTAGGGTGGTGACAGCTGCTGGCTTCTAGTGTGTGGAGGCCTGAGACGCTGCTAACCATCCTGCAGGGCGCAGGAGCGTCCCAGTGACAGAGAGTTACCCGACCCCAAATGTCAGCAATGCCGCGAGTGAGAAAGCCGGTTTAACGCCCGACTAGAAGTCCCCAGGCAGCGTGCCCTGCAGACAGTGTGGGGCGTGGTGGCCGTAAGTTTGAAGTTGCACCATGGAGGGTACACAGCTGTCTGGCGGAGCCAGGACAAAGGCTGGGTGGCGGGAATGTGCCCGGCATGGTGAGGGACAGCAGGCCACACGGAGCGAAAGGACCACGAGAGGAGGCGATGAGGGAAGTGGAGAGTTCTTACCGATAAGAGAAATAGATGATGTCCGAAAAACAAGGAGCCCATGTCTCCAGGGGTGGACCGTGTAGACTAACGACCTCTGTCTTGTTCTTGCCTCCCTGTTCCGTTCTCCTCCTTCCTCGCAACCTCCCCCCTGCCACCCCCGCCCCTCTGGCTCCCTAGTGTTCGGCCACAACATGAAGAGCAGCAATGACTTCATCGGGAGAATTGTCATCGGCCAGTATTCTTCGGGCCCCTCTGAGTCCAACCACTGGCGACGGATGCTCAACACTCACCGTACTGCCGTGGAGCAGTGGCACAGCCTGAGGTCCCGGGCTGAGTGCGACCGCGTGTCCCCGGCCTCACTGGAGGTGACCTGAGGGCTGCAGGAAAAGCAGCTTTCATTTGTTTAAAAAAAAAAAAAAAAAAAAGAAACTTTAAGCTGGAAAAAAATGTGTCACCTGCCTGTTACATCCACACTTACACACACAGTCACAGCACACACACACACACACACACACACCCTAAATCCTCTCAGAACAGAGAGGAAACTGACTACTGAATGCAAAATGGCTGCCCTCAATGAGCAAGGCCTGAGAACTCTCTGGAAACCCCGTCTGTATGTCACAAGCTGCTTGGGCTCTGCCGTGAGACCCATTGGCGGTGTCTGCTCCTGTTGATACCCCTGCCCCAAAATGCACTTTCAACCTTCAGGCCAGAGAAAGGGCCTCCTCAAGGGCACCAGCCTCTGTTGAGATGAAATTCTCTGAGAGCTTGGCCAGTGTGTAGGAGGCCCGACCCCCAAGTCCACCCGTTGACTGGGTGACTTCTGGGCAAGCTGCTGGTCCCTGGGGTTCTTCAGACCTGATCCCTTTCCCCCAAAGTGTAAGTACTCTGTCTTCTCTTTAGTGGATGTGATAGATTAGACTATTTGGAGAAACCAAATGGCAACAAAAAATATTCCAGTGTAAGAAACTTCCCTGGCTTAACTGAATTTGTCGTCGTGTTAGCTTATTCCTAAGGACCCCCCGTGGGTGCGTATGTGGATGTCCTCGGGTGAGTGCCCTCACAGGCGAACATGTGTGTGTCCCTGTGTGTCCTCTTCGCGAGCACCTCCGTCCTGAGCTCTCCCTTCTCTCTGCCTCTCCCTGTGAAACTTCACCCAGTGTCCTCCTGTCTGTCAAGACCCCACCTTCAGTAACAGCATGTGCAAATGTCAAGTAACTAGAATATGATAGAGCAAAAGTAACCTTTTTTGACCAAATTCTGATGATCATGACACATGGAAGACCTGCAGAAGACAGTTACGTGGATCAGAATGGCCGCTGCACCCCCATCCAAGATGGCTCCTTCCTTGTCATATTCTGCGAATCTCTCTGTGTTTGTGTGTGAACCAAAGTCATTCTTCTCATGCTAAGGAATTAGTGTAGTTAGACTAGATCTCTCCCCGTTGGATGCTTCTGTATCTTTCCCACAGCCTAGTGTCTGGCATAATGGGGAGCTATTTATTGAAATTAAAGATTATTTATTTGTGCCATGCATTTGAGTTCTCTTTTTCTTCATGAACATGGGGCACAAAGAGTGCAAGGGTGTTGCAGTTACCACTGCTGTGTAACAAACCATCCCAACAATTCAGAGCATTGGTATGGCCTGGAGGTCAAAGGCCAAAGGCAGGAGGGCTAGGTTAAGTTTCTTAAGAGGAAAAAAGAGCATTTTCCTTCTCTATTAAATAATTTCCTTGGGGCGCTTGGGTGGCTCAGTCAGTTAAGTGTCCGACTCTTGCTTTCGGCTCAGGTCATGATCTCACAGTTTGTGGGTTGGAGCCCCGCGTCAGGCTCTGTGCTGACAATGCAGAGCCTGCTTGGCATTTTCTCCCTCCCTCTCTCTCTGCCCCTCCCTCCCCTGCTCCTGCTCTACCTCTTTCTGTCTCTCTAAATAAATAAGTAAATATTTTAAAAATGCATTGGAAAAATGAAATGGCTTTCTTACCATGGTTGTACAGAAGAGGGTAAAAGCATGAGAAAGAACAGGGATGAGGGAAGATGGGTTCACGGCACGCATTTGGCACTAGAGATGAGGTGATAACCGTAATCGGCCCCCCTGGGCTTTGGAGTCATAGAAGCCATGGATCAAATCGTGGACCCCTCGCTCCTTAGCTGCGTATCCTTCTACAAGCCACACAACTTCTCTGGGCTTCGGTCTCCTTGTTATCTTAGTTGAGATGCCTCAAAGGCAGACCTTGAAGCAAGGACTTGAGTGCAGCTTGGGTGCTGGGGCAATGACCCCCCCAGAAGCCTAAGTGGAAGAAGAGAAAGGAGAAAAGCAGATGATGGCTGCGCAGACCAGCCCTGCGGGCAGCTGGGGCTCAGCTGTGCTGGGAGCCCTGTAGAATACACTTGGCAATGATGATGATGTAGGAGCTGGTACATTTAACTGCTGACCCTCCTCCCTCAGAGCCCGAGGGTTGCCTCTGGAAATATTAAACATTTGGCACTTTAGGACTGTCTTGTTTGGACACAGAAAACTTCAGTAGCACCAAGAAATCCTCAGGCAGAGAGAATGGGGCATGTGAACGGCCATGTGTGTGGCCTACATGCACAGCCAGCTGTCCTGTCTGAGAATAGGGTGACAGCTCTTCCCCCGGACTGCCAATGCGAGCAGTCGCCGGGATGATGCTCGTACAGTCTAAACATGCAGTCCGTGCCGGCTGTTCCCAGGAGGCACACATCAGGCAACATTTGCTGGTTGACCAGAGGGACGGTTGTAGGATGGATGTTAGAGCTGTCCATGTCTCCAAGGAGACAGTTTGTCAGGAGCTGAGGGGAGTGTGTTGAAAGGTGAAGGGATGACTTGCTTTCCATAGAATCTTGGGCCCAAGGTGCCCTGGCGTGGGCTTCTCCTTTCTTTTCATTAGCATTGTCTTCCTCTGCAGGGAGAAGGTGGGAAAGGGACTCATGGGCCACCTACACACCCTCTCTGGGGTGTGGAGACCCAAGTTCAAAAGGAGGAGGTGGGGTAGGAGCAGCGGCGTGAAGTTTGAAAGCCGAGTCTGTGTTCCCACAGCCAGTCCTTGAGTCCTCTCAGCTCTTGGGACCCCAGAGCCCCTCAGATTTCAGTCCACCCCCTGGGACTCGACACATGCTATGCTCAGACATGATGAGTCCTGGGGTGCCAGGAACAGCTGTTTGGAGCACTGATACCTCACTTCCAGAAAGCTGGGAATCACTGCAGAGGAATGAAGAAAAGGAGCCCTCTCCTTTCTGGGTGGCTTATCTTCCACTGCCACAGGGGGAGGGGGGTACCTGCCCTTTTTCCTTTTCAAAAAGACCATTTCAAATAACTCAGGAATTGGGGTGCTTGACTGGCTCAGTTGGTAGAGCATGCAACTCTTGATCTAGGGATCGTGGGTTTGAGCCCCACCTTGGGTGTAGAGATTACTTAAAAAAAAATAGGGGTGCCTGGAGGCTCTGTCAGTTAAGCTTCCAACTTGGGCTCCAGTCATGATCTCACAGTTCGTGGGTTCAAGCCCTGCATCGGGCTCTGTGCTGACAGCTCAGGGCCTGGAGCCTGCTTCGGATTCTGTGTCTCCCTCTCTCTCTCTGCCCCTCCCCCACTTGTGCTTGCACGCGCTCTTTCTCAAAAATAAACATTAAAATTTTTTTAAATAAATAAAAGCTGAGAAACTAACGGAGATGATTGATAGATAAATGATAGGTAGGTAGGTAGGTAGAGGAAGGGAAGGGGAGGGGAGAGGAAGGGAAGGGAAGGGAAGAATCTTCACCAGGTACTCAGGTCACCATGAGCACAGTGCATGTGAATGTGTGTTTGAGTGGCCACGGCAGGGTTGGGGCAGTAATGCCATCACACAATAAATACAGCTTTAGGAAGACAAAATATATACTACGTTGTGAAGAGGTCTCTATTACAACCTCCAAATGACAGCAAAGATCGGATTTGTTAGGTAAGGAAATTATCTATTTTCTGGTCAGTAAACTTGAGGTCTAAAGCAGAGGTTGGCAAACTGCTGTTTGGCAAAGAAGCCCACAGCTTGTTTTTGTAAATGAAGTTTTATTGGCATCTAGCCAGGCCCGTTCCCATAGTCTTTGGCACAGGTAAGTAGTTGTGACATAGTCCCTGTGGCCTGCAGAGCCTAAAATACTTGCTAGGTGGCTCTTTACAGAAGCTCAAGTTACAGTAATGTAGGATGAGTAAGTCTAGAGAGCTAACGTACAGCATGATGGATATAGATAAAGAACACTGGACTGAATAGTGAAATTTGGGGCGCCTGGGTGGCTTAGTTGGTTAAGTGTCTGACTTTCACTTAGGTCATGATCTCGAGGTTCATGGGTTCGAGCCCCGCGTCGGGCTCCGTGCTGACTGCCAGCTCAGAGCCTGGAGCCTGTTTCAGTCTGTGACTCCCTCTCTCTCTGACCCTCCCCTGCTCACACTGTCTCTCTCTCTCTGTCTCCTAGAAATAAATAAAACATTAAAAAAAAATACCTCTGAATAGTGAAATTTGCTAAGAGAGTAGATTTCGGCTGCTCTTATTACCTAGAAGGTACCTATGTGAGGAGATGATATGTTAATTAGTTTGACTGTGGTATCATTTCACTGTGTATGTATATCATCAGATCATCATGTTGCATACCTTAAATAGGTACAATTTTTATTAAAAAATAAAATTAAAGGGGCACCTGGGTGGCCCAGTAGGTTGTGTCCAATTTCCACTCAGGTCATCATCTCACAGTTCATGGGTTTGAGCCCCGCGACCTCCTCTACATTGATAGCTCAAAGCCCAGAGCCTGCTTCAGATTCTGCAACTCCCTCTCTCTCTGTCTCTCTGCCCCTCCTCCGCTCACACTCTCTCAAAAACAAATAAATATTTTTAAAAATCAGCAATTTGAGGGAGGGGTCTTCTATAAGACTAGATAGATTAGCACAGTAAGCAATCCATGCACGTCACTTATATAACAGATGTGTGTCGTTCCTAAATAAACACACGTGCATGTGCTGGGAGGCGGGGGGCAGCGCGGAGTTGTGAGGCAACTGGTAGACATGAGGCATGCTGTAGGCTGAAACTGAGCCTGAGCTGTGCTCGGAGCCTGAGTCAGGCCTTGGCAGGCTCTCCCTCCCCCCCCTCCCCGAGCCAGCAGGGCAACGCACGATGCGTGGGCACCAGCTAAGTAATGCCTCACAGGCACAGCAGTGGGTGTTCCAGAGAGAAAACCAGTGATTGGGACAGGTTGGACACCCCCCTGTGAGTGCCAGCCACACAAAGTGTCAGAGCACCTGATGGAGCATTTCAGGAGTAGAAGCAGGGTGGGGGGGAAGTATTCAGGGTCCCCTGCCAGGTAAAGGCTTGCACTGGCTCAGTGATAATTCTAGCAACATTTGCTATCATTTATTGAACATCTACTACTTGCCAGCATCTACGCTAAGTAATACAGACAAATTATTTCATTTCACCTTTGTGGGGCGGGTTCTGCTGGTATCCCCTATTTTATTAAGGGGCAGGCTGAGACCTCAGAAAGGCAAAGTGACTTGCCTGACAGTACAGGAAGTGGGAGAGAGAAAGACTCCAGTTTTTAGAGACATTAATTCCTAAATGCAATGACATTCCCAGTGAAAACACCAGTGGATGCAGAAACATTTATTTTAGCGGCGCCTGGGTGACTCAGTCGGTTAAGCTCAGGTCATGATCTCACAGTTCACGGGTTTGAGCCCCACGTCGGGCTCTGTGCTGACAGCTCGGAGCCTGGAGCCTGCTTCGGATTCTGTGTCTCCCTCTATCTCTGCCCCATCCCTGCTCACGCTCTGTCTCTCTCTCAAACCTAAACATTAAAAAAACCTTTTTTCATATTTATTTTTTTAAGGAAATAAATACTTATTAAATTCTTAGTGCACAAAGATAATTGTTAGCCACTTTGTTTTTATTTTATTTTTTTTAAATTTACATCCAAGTTAGTTAGTATAAAGTGCAATAATTGATTTCGGGAGTAGAATCCAGTGATTCATCCCCTACATATAACACCCAGTGCTCATCCCCACAAGTGTCCTCCTTAATGACTCTTGCCCATTGAGCCCATCCCCCCTCCCACAACCCCTCCAGGGACCCTCAGTTTGTTTCCTGTACTTAAGAGTCTCTTGTGTTTTGTCCCCCTCCCTGTTTTTATATTATTTTTCCTTCCCTTCCCTATGTTCATCTGTTCTATGTCTTAAAGGCCTCATCTGAGTGAAGTCATATGATATCTGTCTTTCTCTGACCGACTAATTTCGCTTAGCAGGATACCCTCCGGTTCCATCCACATTGTTACAAATGGCGAGATTTCATTGCTTTTGATTGCCGAGTGATACTCCGTTGTACATGCATATATACCACATCTTCTTTACCCATTCATCTGTTGATGGACATTCTTTCCATACTTTGGCTATTATTGATAGCGCTGCTATAAACATTGGGGTGCATGTGCCCCTTTGAAACAGCACACCTGTATCCCTTAGATAAATACTTAGTAGTGCAAGTGCTGGGTCGTAGGGTAGTTCTATTTTTTGTTTTTTGAGGAACCTCCATACTGTTCTCCAGAGTGGCCGCGCCAGTTTGCATTCCCACCAGCAGTGCAGAAGAGATCCTCTCTGTCCGCATCCTCGCCAACATATGTCGTTGCCTGATTATTTTTTATTTATTTATTTTTTTATTTCTAGGAGAGAAAGAGAGAGACAGCATGAGCAGGGGAGGGTCAGAGAGAGAGGGAGATACAGACTCTGAAATAGGCTCCAGGCTCTGAGTTGCAGTCAGCACAGAGCCCGACATGGGGCTCGAACCCACGAACCGCGAGATCATGACCTAAGCAAAAGTCGGATGCTTAACTGACTAAGCCACCCAGGCGCCCCTGTCGTTGCCTGATTATTAATTTTAACCATTCTGATGGGTGTGAGGGGGTATCTCCTTGTGGTTTTAATTTGTATTTCCCTGATGATGAGTGATGTTGAGCATTTTTTCATGTGTCTATAGGCCATCTGGATGCCTTCTTTGGAAAAGTGTCTGTTCGTGTCTTTTGCCCATTTATTCACTGGATTATTGTTTTTTTGTGTTGATTTGATATGCTCTTCATAGATTTTGGATACTCACCCTCTATCTGATATTTCATTTGCAAATATCTTCTCCCATTCCGTAGGTTGTCTTTTAGTTTTGCTGATTGTTTCCTTCACTGTGCAGAAACTTTTTGTCCTAATGAGATTCCAAAAGTTCATTTTTGCTTTTGCCAAAAATAAACATTTAAGTCTGCGCAAACCACATACTAGAACTTTTGCTTCTCTTTGCTGAGCACTTATTCTGTGTCCAGAATTTTCTACAGGCACCTCCTTTAACCCCTAAGAAACCCTGAAAGGTGGAGGGATGGGGAAGGAGGATAACTCACTTAGATCTTCTTTGTGGCTTCCTAGGCAAGCAGGTAGTTCTTTATTTTATTTTTTAAAATGTTTATTTTTGAGAGAATGAGTGCACACAGTGGGGGAGGGGTAGAGAGAGTGAGACAGAGGATCCAAAGTGAGCTCTGCGCTGACAGCAACGAGCCAGCTGAGCCAAACTGATGCAGGGCCCGAACTCCCAAACCATGAGATCATGACCTGAGTGGAAGTCGGATGCCCAACCCCCAGGAGCACCTGTAAGCCGCTGGTTGTCATAGCTGCAGGGCCAGGGTGGAAGGCTGAGCAAAGCAAGCTGGCCCCCCTTCGTGAACTCCCGTGAACTTCCGCACTGGACTCTGACTTGCATTTTTACCTTCTGGCATGTATTTCCTCCGAGGGATCCAAGATGCATTCTTTCCTGTGACAGGCCCAGATACAAGGGCCTGTACTGTTAACCCATCTCACAGAGGAGAAGACTGAGTCTCACAGAAGTGAGCACATTCCCAAGGCCAGGCAGTGGCTCAGAAGCAGGGCCTGTGGTTTCTCTTAGTTCTCCAAAGGGGGCTGACCCGGGCAGCTTCCAAGTTGTCACTCTGAGCTGTCTCCAGCTGTGCCGAGAGGAGGGAGGAGAGAAGGGAGGGGAGGAGGAGGAGACTGGTCTACCCAGTGTGTCCGGAGCGCCAGCAATTCTCGCCTGCTCCCAGAAGGGCTCCCAGAAAGGGCCTCTCTTCTCCACCCAGGCCTGGAGGTGGCTTCCTCAGGGGTCAGGATGCAAAGGTGGGGGTTGTGGGCCGTGGCCTCCCTGACCCTCCTCTCTGCACAGGCTTTTCCGCAGACGGACATCAATATCAGCCCAGGTGAGCACAGGGGCCAGGGCGGAGCAGGCCGAGCCGAGGACCCCTCACATGCTTGAGGCTGTTTCAGTGAGGCCGGGCTGCCTGGGCTGCAGTCCTGCCTGACCCAAGGTGTGGTGGGAGCTGAGCTGAGCAGCCCCCCGCCCCCCCCCCCCCCCGCCTGCCCGGCAGCTCTTCCAGCTCCCCTCCTGGGACCCCAGGGGCATTGTCCTAGGGTCAGACCCCAACAGTCCTGATTTTAAATCCCAGCTATTCCAGCTTTGCATCTTAAAAACTGTGTGACCTTGCCGAAGTATCTTAACCTCTCTGAACTCAGCTTCCTTTGGAAAACGGGGGTGAGAGCGGCACCCTCTGGGGCTACTCTGCGGGGGAAGTGAGATAAAATGGGGAAGTGCTTCGTGATTGGTGCTGGGCAGCGCAGGAAGGTCTGAAGGCCGTATTTCTGTAGGCATTTGGCACCTGGGCTCCTCACCCCGACCCTGGCTCCCAGGGAGCTTTCAGACCAGCTGCATGCCCCGTGGGGCATGCAAGGGGACACGGTTGTCCCTCTCGTGACCTCCCTGGAGGTCACTGCTCTGTGGTCCACTTCTGAGGGTTTTCTATGTCCCCGGGAGTTGGACCTACTAGCCTCTGGCATGTGGCCTCCCAGTGTCCAGCTTGAAAGTCTCAGGGCTTCAAACGAGCTCAGGTTCTTCCTCATCGCAATGCGGGGGCTGCAGGCTCACCCTGGGGACCTGTCTGGGTGGGAAGACTCCTGAACCCTGCGGTCTGCTCAGGGCTGAGGATCCTGCCTCTCACCTCTGCCGCGGAGGTTATTTCCAAATGTTGTTTAAAATATATAGCAATAATAATAATACCAGGGTGCCTGGGTGGCTCGGTCAGTTAAGCATCTGACTTCCACTTAGGTCGTGATCTTGTGGTTCATGAGTTCAAGCCTTGCGTTCACACTCCTATGCTGACAGCTCAGAGCCTGGAGCCTGCTTCACATCTGTGTCTCCCTCTCTCTCTTCCCCTCCCCTGCATGCTCTCTTTCTCTCTCTCCCTCTCAAAAAAAATTTTTTTTTAATTTAAAATTTTAAAGAAAAAAATAATACCTATAACCAGTTAGGATTTACACAGCCCTCACTCTATGCCAGGCATCGTTTTAAGCACTTTTTTGTGTACGGATTTATTTAAACTTCACAATAACTTTATGGCAGAGATACTGTTTTGATCCCCATTAAAGTACAACTAATAATGAACCACTTTTAGGATTCCCGTAAGACCACATTATTGGGGTGTTACAGTGTTGGGGTGAACTTAAACACTGTTTAAGGGTGATAGCGTTACCAGAGAAAATGCCAGGTGCCAGGTAAGTTTGAATTTCCGGTAAACAACCATCTTTCAGCATAAGCATGTGTCAGATGTTACGTGGGACTGGGGACTGGGAGGCTCATTCAGTTGAGTGTCTGACTCTTGATCTTGGCTCAAATCATGATCTCACAGCCTATGAGCTGAAACCCCGCATCGGGCTCTCTGCTGTCAGCACAGAGCCTGCTTTGGATCCTCTGTACAATTCTCTCTCTACCCATCCCCTGATCGTGCTCTCTCTCTCTCAAAAATAAATAAAAACATTTATATATATGTTATATATGTTATATATATATAATATATAGTATATATATATATGTTATATATATATTCTCTCTGCTGGGAGAAGAGTGCTGGCCTCAGTTCATTCGGGCAGGCATCAGCAGCTGTAGCTTCTCATAAAATCTCTGAGCGTCTGTCTCCGTCAGCTCTGGCTGCCGTCGCAAAGTACCACAGACTGGGGGGGCTTCAACAACAGAAATTTGATTCTCAAAGTTCCAGAGGCCGGGAAGTCAAGCTCCTGCCTGATTCCGTTCCCTGGTGAGGGCCCTCTTCCCGGTTTACAGATGGACCACCCTTCTGTGATGTCCTCCCGTGGCCCAGAGGGAAAGAGCATGTGCACACTCTGGTCTCTCTTCCACTCCTTTTTTATTTTTTAAGCTTATCTATTTTGAGAGAGAAAGAAAATGAGGAAAGGGCAGAGAGAGAGAATCCCACGCAGGCTCGACGCACTGTCAGTGCAGAGTCCAACTCAAGGCTCGATCTCACAAACCATGAGATCATGACCTGAGCCGAAATCAAGAGTTGGATGGCGAACTGACTGAGCTACCCAGGCGCCCCTCTCTTTCTCTTATAAGGATACTAGTCTCATCATAGGGGTCCCACCCTCATGACTTCACTGAACCCTAATTACCTCCCAAAGACCCCACTTTGGCAGGGGGATACAAATATTCAGTCCATAATAGTGTCTTTCATCCTTGCTCTTATGCCTCAGTTTTCTCATCCACACAATGGGCGAGCAAGAGAGAAAATGGACAAAATATCCTTGAAGTCTGCTTTGTATATTCCAGTCTTTCCTTTATATCCAGTGTGTGTGGAAAGGGCCTGAGGCTGTTTGCAAGTGGGAACAGGGAGCAACTGGAGAGTCTCTCTCTCTCTCTCTCTCTCTCTGCAACTGGAAAGTCTCTCTCTCTCTCTCTCTCTCTCTCTCACTGCTTATGCCCATGGCATCTCTGAGCATCAAGTTTCCTCCCCTGGAAAGTGAGGATAATAACGGTGCCTACCAAACATTTGGGGGATCTTCAATGAGACCGTGCAGATGAAGTGCTTACTTAGCACATGGTAAGTGCTTAAAAACTGAGTTGTTACCGTTAGTACTTCTGTTGCTGCAGTTGTTGACGGCATGATAGAAATGGCCAAGAGACTCAGTTTTCTGTTGTGACACAAACCTCCATTGGAGAAAGGAGCTTCCAGACATCTCTCCCCCAGCTCACCCCCACCCAACTGAGACGGGAACTGAGATCACTTCAAACCCGGCAGTCTTGGAAAACTCAGAACTGAAGTTGGCAGAAAGCCTTGGGGGAATCCATTGAGCCCGACCCTTCCATATTACATGTGGAAACCGCGTGGAAACCGAGGCCTGCAGAGGCCAAAGACCCGGCCAAGGTCATCATCGACCACCAAGGGGTCGTTCTCCTTACCGCTCTCCAGGTTCCCAGCCCTGCAGAAAGTCTAGTTCGAGCCCGGGCGGACAGATCTTCTCGAGGAAAGTGACTTTGACTCTGAAGAGAACGCGTGAGTGCAGGTGTGTGTGTACGAGTGTGCGTGTTGATCTGTGACGAGGGAGGGCTCATCTAGGGTCTCCGTGGGCCCCTGCAGACCGTGAAGCTGGGTGCACGGCCAACAGCCTCCCTATTGAGAACGGGCCTAGTTTGTCCTCTCCCGGGCACCCAAGCCTTTCTTTGCAGAAGAGAACGTTGGTCATATTACTACTCATCTCGGACCCCTGGCCTGCCATGCGCGTGCAAATATGTGCACACAGTGCACCTGAGCCACACCTCTAGAATTGCTGGAGATCGCGTTAGACGCTGTGGGAGGCTGGGGACGCTTTAGCCAGACGAGAGCCTTTCCTTAAAACCTTTCCTCCGAACCTGGCTTTGATCACATTGTTGAAGTGGATTAATGAGTGTAAAGTGCTTAGAAGGGAGCCTGGCACCCAGTAAAAGCTACATAAATATGTGCCATTATGGTTCTTCAACCGTTACCATCAAGTTTCATTTCCTGGCCCCTGAGGCCAAAGAACTCTTCACAGCAAAGGAAATTCCAGCGAAGCGTTTGAAGTTTGAAGCTCACAGGGTGTGTGGGAATCGGGTCTTCTCTTCCCTCCGGGAAGCTGGCAGTGCTCTCCCAGCTCCAGGCAGCTTTCGGGGCCCAGGCTGTCTCTGCAGGAGTAATATGTAATGCTTATTAGCATGCCAATCGTGAGCCAGGCCATGACTTCCCTGTGAAGTAGGCATTATCATCATGTCCATTTTATAGATGAGAAAACGGAGGCACAAAGAGCTGAGTGTCCACCTGGGGCCTTTGGACTCAGACAGAGGTCAGAGCAACTGGACGTCCCCACTTCCTTGAATACACCCCAGAGCCTGGATCATAGAGTCAGATCCCAGAGTTCCCCATGGACACTCCGGCCCCTCCCCCACGCCTCCTCCATGGTTACGGAGCACTCTGCATATTTCTGAAATGCATCTTGGTATATGATGATTCATTGCCATGTGTGTGTTCCTCTCTCCAGACTGAGCGACTAGAGGGCACAGACCTCAAAGCCCAATAGGCACACAGGAAACCCTGAATTATTTGCTTCATTAACTTTTGGTCTTAGCTCAGGCTGCTATAACCTATGGTAAAAATACCATACACTGGGAGGCTTAAGTAATAGGAATTTATTTCTGACAATTCGGGAGCCTGGGAAGTTCAAAATCAAGATCCTGAGCAATATGGTTCCTGGCGAGTACTCTCTTCCAGGCTTGCAGATGCTGTCTCCTCAAGCAGTGGTGAGAGGTAGGGGGGCTCTGGTCTCTCTCCTCTTATCAGGGCGCTTATTATGGGCCCTCCCCATGACCTCTTTTAACCCTGATCACCTCGCAAGTGCCCCACCTCCAAAGACATTGTATGAGGAGGTGGGGAAACAAACGTTCAGTCCAAGACACTGATAAATGTGGTGATTGATTTATTTGTCTTACAAATGAGAAAACCAAGACCAGAAAAATAAGAAGTTTCCTGGAGGCACTTCGTGGTTAGGGGTTTCTGAGTCCATCCTGATACTACCACCACTTGCTAGCTTGGGGGCAAGTGACTTCAGCTCTCTGAGCCTCAGTTTCCTCAGCTGTAAAACGGGGATGATACCGAAACCCTTCCTAGGCTGGTCTCAGCAGCTATACGCTCACCAGCCAATGAATGGCTGCTATTAACAGAACACGAAATTTCCCGGAGCTCTTTCCTCTGTACCTCGTGGCCCCTAGAGTGGCCCAGAGAAGGGAAAGCGAAGCTTGGGCATGAGAAGCCCAGGACCTCACTAGTGAGGGGGACTGTCTGACAGTGGGATGTGTGAACCAGTGAGGCAGCGGGAAGTGAGGGAGCCCTCCCAGTGGCCACCTTCCCGGTCTCCTGGGACATCTGGGGCCCAGGAGTGCGGGTGGGGTGGGGGCTGGGGTGTGGCCCCCGCGCCTCCCTCACCTCCTCTCCTGGCGCGCTCCCAAGGCCGATCTGGGCAGGAGACAGCATGGTAGTGCCTTCGTAGGCGGCTGGAGTGGTGCCAGGGAGCGAGCAGCCAGATCGAGTGGGAAGGTGACAATTTCTTCTTTTAAAAAGAGAGAGAGGGAGAAAAAAACGAGGCCTGAACTCCCCTGGTGTGTCCTTCTTTTCATAAGCTCAGAGCTCCCAGAGGCTTTGACTCCCACCCCAGCCAGAGACCTCTGTGGCCTTTAGTGCTGCTAATTGAAGGAATAGACCAAGCAGCCTCCTGGTTTCCAGAGCAACAAGCTCTTTTGTGCATCCCCTCCCCTCTTCTCCCGTCCACCCTCCCTCTGTCACCTCTGGCCTCCTCTCTTGCCTTCTCACCCTCTCAGAGTCCTCGGTTGGCTGAGCCATTCGTGGCTCTCCACATGTTCCCTTCCCTACCGCCTCCGGGCCTTTGCACCTGCTGTGTCCTCACCTGAAACATCTCCTCTGACTCTTACCTTCCAGGTCTCAGTGGAGGCACCATCCACTCGCAGGAGCCTCCCAGATCTCCCAATCCTTAGATGCCACTTTTAGGTGCTCCTGTGGCAACACCTTGAAATTTCTCCATCTGAGAAGAGGACTCTGGTGTCCTGTCCTAATTACCCACGGGCTCCTTGAAGACACAGTTGGGGAGGCCACCAGTTCAATTACGGAGAGAAGGCAGGCAAACAAAGAACCAGCTTCCAAGAATAATTTGGGGGCTGCTCCCTCAAGTTTTTGCCGGCATGACCCACATCCACAAGTGACAAATTAATGACATTTTATTTCTGTGCTTATTTTTCTTAGAAATTTTTTAAACAATTTATGTATTTTTGAGAGACAGAGAGAGAGAGTTCATGAGCAGGGGAGGGGCAGAGAGAGAGAGGGAGACACAGAGTCCGAAGCAGGCTCCAGGCTCTGAGTTGATAGCATCAGAGCCTGATGTGGGGCTCGAACCCACAAACTGCGAGATCATGACGTGAGCTGAAATCAGAGGCTTAACCGACTGAGCCACCCAGGCTCCCCCCATGGTTATTTTTCTTAATGTCGATCTCCATTAGACTATAGAGCCCAAGAGCTCAGAGACCCCCTCTGTGAAGCTGGCCACAGTATCTCCAGCGTGTAGCCAGCTAACTGCCTGAGCCCAAGTGGGTGCTCAAAAGGATGTGTTGAATGAAAAAGGGAATGAATGAATGTCCAGACCATCAAGACTGAGTCAAAAGGAAAGGGGCTTAAATCCAGCAGGAATCTCTAAAGTAGGTCTGGAGCCATACAGCCTGGCTTTCAAAACCTACCTCTGCCCCTTAGGAGCTGTGTGATCTTGGGCACGTTAGTCAACCTCTCTGTCCTTGGTTTCTGCCTCTGTAAAATGAGAGTGATTGTGTTATCTGCCTTGTAGGATGTGTGAAGACTAACTGAACTGAAATGTACAAAGACCTTGACACCAGGCCTGGCTCAGATGAAAGCTCGGTAGGCTTGGCCCTGTTTGTTACATTGCCGTCATTACCTGACTTGTCAAGCTATAAACCTACAGAAACCCCTTAACCCCTTCATGAGAGAGACACAGATTAGTGAAGGCTACTTTGGGGTTTAGGCTGATGAAAGGCTTCTGGGTCCTTGTAGTCTCAGTTTCTAAAAATCCCAGAGGGAAAGGGGGTGTGGGGTACCAGGCAGGGTGGAGTTCATTATCATCCCACGTGCAAACACGTGGCTTTTTGTCTCCCAGATCCTTTCAATTAAAGGCCTTTGCCTGCCCAGAAGGAACGGGAAATAATTGAGCAGTGACCTGTCACAGCTCCATTTTCTGGTATGTTTCACCCCAGGCATCCATAACCACCATTTGTTCAGTGGAAAAAGTCAAAGGGATCAGGAGGGTGAAGGAGGGAGCTTGTTTTCCACAGGGAGACTTGCTTTTAAAATAGCCACCAGGCTTTAGGACCCAAGAGAAGCCTTTGGACCTTGGGGAGAGGGGAGTAGGAACGCTCGCCTCCTCCTTTCCTCTCCCGGCACCCTTCATTTGATTATTAATGTCTCTCCGCATCTTCAATGATAGTGCGACTAAGTTCCTACAAGGAGCTCAGCAACATCCACTGCTTCAAGGGGTGGAAGAAGCCAGGACTGAATGGCGTGGCTGTCCAGGGTGGAGGAAGGGCAGTTCTGGTCAAATGAGGAAGCCCAATGGCCCTGGTCTGTGATGACCAGGGAGGTGTGCAACCTGTCCGTTTAGCATAGCTCCCGTGATTAAAACATCTGACTCTTACCCCAGATAAATGTGCATGCACACATACACACTCTTGATTTTGTGTTTAATTTCAGGGGACTCAGTGGGTCCCTGTAGCACCATCAACCCCAGTTATGAAACTCTGAGCTAATCATTAATAATCATACTGTTATAGAACAATGCATATACGCCACGCAGCTGGCGGACTTCTATGGAGTAAGGTGCTAAAGGACTGAACCATTCTCATCCCTGTTGATTTCCCATGATGAAGCATCATGTGGACTTTAAGATCAAATAATCTGGTGTCAGGAGGTTTGGTTCAAATCCCTACCTGCCACTTACTAGCAGGATGACCTTGGGCAAGTCGCTTAACCTGTCCAAGCCTCAGTTTCCCTATAGGTGTGTGACACATCACAAATGCTTCATAAATGCTGTCCACTGCTTCATTATTCAGGAGCTCGGCCGGCTATTACAGTGACTTGAAAGGCAGAGATCCTACATCCTCGGGCGGCCACAAAAGGAGCCCCAAAGATCAGCCAGTTTGACAGCTGAATGTGTCATTGTCACATGCCATGTTAGGCACGGAGCTGGCACCTGGAACCCGGACCTCCAGATCCCAGAATCCGACAGATTCTACCCCTGCCCCCACTGTGGGTGAGCCACCTAATGTAGTTCAAGGCAGGTTCTCAGCATGCCTTCCTCCCCCCAACCAGTATCTTGAGTTGTGGTTTCCAAAAACGGGTATCTCCTAAGAGATCCTGCAAGAGGGGCTGAGGCTTGGGGGAACTTGATTGTCTCAAACGTGGGTTTTCCATCTGTGCTTTTCCAGAATTAAGGGTGCTTCCTGAACCCCGGGAGTTCGATGGGCCACAGATATAAATAGTCTTGGCTATAGTGTGTCAATAAACACGTGGAGAAATGTCTGCCCTCACCAGAGAGCCCAGAATTGCAAAATGAAACGAGACACCTTTTCTTTTTTTTGCTTATAAAATTTGCAAAGATTGCCATTAAAGTGATAACGCTCGGCGCTGGCGAGGGCACTGTGAGATGGACACTCTCAGACTTTACCGTGGGAGAATGAATTGCTTTCAGGAGGCAATTTAGCAAATTGTATCAAAGGCTTAAAAATCTCTCCTTGGAAAATCTTCAGAAATGCTGAAAAAAGCTTGATGCACAACGCTGTTCATCTCAGCATTATGTGTATTTGTTTTTAAAGAAGAGAACCAGTCTAATTATCCATAAATAGGGGAATGATTAAATAAACTCTATGGGGGCCACTCAGTGGAGTATTCCAGAGCTATTTAAAACAATGTTTGTGAAAATTTATAATAACATGGGGGAAATCTATTCTAATTTTTGGAACTCTGAATACTGACAGGTATGGATAGGACAATATAATAATTGAATTTTTACAGATCACTGCATTCAAGCATGATACGAAGAAAAATACACCAAAGCAGTAACATTTTTCAAGTGTTCTATAATGAACATGTATTACTTTTGTCATTCCATGAATTTTAGGTATGCATGTATTTTCTGGACCTCAAGCATAGAATTTTACTAATCACAATGGGACATGTTTTACTTTCACTCTTGAAAAGATGTCATAAGCTGTTGGAACAGTGTTTCCACACTGCCAGCCCTCCTGCGAGTCTGTTTTCTCTGCCCACAGCCATGCCCGAGCTGCCCCCGGCTTCCCTGTGCCCACTATTCTGGATGGAGTTCAAAGGCCACTGCTACAGATTTTTCCCTCTCAATAAGACTTGGGCCGAGGCTGACTTCTACTGCTCTGAGTTCTCCATTGGCAGGAAGTCTGCCAAACTGGCCTCCATCCACAGGTGAGTGGACATGCATCCTGCATAACCCAAGCACCCCCTTTGTTTTTGTTTTTTTAATTTTTAAATGTTTGTTTTATATTATTTTTTTATAGTTTATTGTCAAGTTGGTTTCCATCAACACCCAGTGGTCATCCCAGCAAGTGCCCTCCTCCGTGCCCGTCACCCATTTTCCCTTCTCTCCCATCCCCATCAATCCTCAGCTTGTTCTCAGTATTTAAGTCTCTTATGGTTTGCCCCCCTCTCTCCCAAGCACCCCCTTTGGAATGGGGAGTGAAAACTGGCATTTCTCACTGGTGTTTCTTTTGGTAATTCAGGCTAACTTTGATGTAGCCCAGTTTCTCATTGAAACTGATTCCGCCCAGGGCACCTAGGTGGCTCAGTTGGTTAAGCAGCTGACTTCGGCTCAGCATGATCTCACAGTTCATGGGTTCGAGCCCCGTGTAGGGCTCTGTGCTGACAGCTCAGAGCCTGGAACTGCTTTGGATTTTGTGTGTGTGTGTCTCTCTCTCTGCCACCCCCCCCCAACTCCTGCTTTGTCTCTCTCTCTCTCTCTCTCTCAAACTTAAATAAACATAAGAAAGAAAGAGAGAGAGAGAAAGAACGAACGAACGAATGAAAGAACGAAAGAAAGAAAGAAACTGATCCAGCCCAGTTTCGCACTGAAACAGTAGAAGGCAAAGCATTTAGCACGGGAAGCTAATAGCATGCTGCAGGCATGGTGCCAGTTTTGTGCTGTGCCCTGTGCTACCACACACGGGGCTTGATCTTGTGATACAACTCACAGAATATATATACGAATATATGAGGAGTAATAACTGACGTTTACTTGCTGAGTGTTTGTATACGGCATCATATTGAAGCTCTCTCGAACCGTATTAAGTACGTATCTTCCTTTTTACTGACATGGAACCCCATCCTCCGAGAAGGTAACTTGCTCAGAGTTACACAAAGTGGTGGAGCTGGGATTTGAACCTGAACAGTCGATTCCATAGCCCATTCACCAAGGCCACCTTCTGCATTCCTCCGTGTCTCCTAAGCCCCAGACACACTGACCGTCTCAAAAGTCTCCAGTCTGGTCCAGCCCTTTTACTCTTCCAGACCTTTGCACATTCTGTTCCCTCTGCTGGAAATCCCCATCCCCTCCTTCTCCCCCATCTCTTCACTGAAGTCACCCCGACTCCCTGGCACCCTAATCGCACTCATTGCCTACATCTCCTGGAGCACATTTTTCATTGTCTTTTGTTTGTTTGTATATTTATTTATTTATTTTGAGACAGAGAATGAGCGCAAGCTGGGGAGGGGCATAAAGAGAGGGAAAGAGAGAATCCCAAGCATGCTCCAATGCTGGGCTCGATCTCACAAACCGTGAGCACATGACCTGAGCCAAAACTAAGAGGCAGATGCTTAACCAACGGAGCCACCCAGGTGCCCCTTCATCACCTCTCAATGACTTGCTTTCACATCCAACGGCCTTGCTGATGTACGGCCTCCCTGAAGCCAGGTGTGCTATGTTCCACTGGCATCCAGACTACAAATTCACAATCTTGTTTCTGTTTTTCAAGAATCTCAGAGACTTGGGGCACCTGGGTGGCTCAGTCGGTTAAGCATCCGACTTCGGCTCAGGTCATGATCTCACGGTTCATGGCTTCAAGCCCCGTGTCGGGCTCTGTGCTGACAGCTCAGAGCCTGGAGCCTGTTTCAGATAGGACCAAGCTCAATGACCCACTGAGGTGAAGGCATTGTTGTCCCATGAAAGTGGATCACTCACACGTGTCAGAACACATACTCTTGCAACATCAATATGGAATAGAGCCTGCTGGTGGTATGAGAGAAGATGTCAAATAGAAATAAGACTTGACATTGATCTGTGTGGCCCTTGTGGCTTGTTTGGGAACACCAGACCTTGGGAAATAGAGAACTAAACCAACCAGCCTGCCTCTGGGGGGTCAGAAATGTGTGCTCCAGGCGGCCCTGGAGTGGATGGGAGGGGGGCGGGGAGATTCATGAAAGGTTTCCTGGAAGAACTGGACCTGGATCATGATATTCAAGGATTAGGAAGCTTAAAGAATGGGAAGAGCAGATGTTCCAAATGAAGAAGCCCATGGGAGATGCTATGTGCCTTAAGGGGCAGTAGACTCAGACAGTCCTGGACTAGTCTGCCACTTCCTCCCTCCACCATCTGACCAAGGAGACCAGGCATCTGAAGTTCTTACAAAGTTAGCTCGGCACTGAGTGCTCAATAGTGGGGGCTATTAATTGTTTCAATTATTTTAACCCTAGGCATCTCAAGGGGGTCAGTTCTTACTTCGCGTTCCCATGTCAGATCATCTTTCTGAGGGCAGGCAAACCCTGCCTCACTCACCCTTTTTCCCTTCCATTTCCTCCAACAGTATCTCAGTCTTAGTCCATTCAGGCTGCCGTTACAAAAATACAACAGACACGTGGCTTACAAACAACAGAAATGTATTTCTCCCAGTTTGGAGGCAAGAAATCCAGGATGAGGGTGCCATCTTGGTCAGGTTCTTGGTGAGAGCCTGCTCCCCGGGCCACAAATGGCCATCTTCAAGCTGCATCCGCACACGGGGAAGGGGTGAGAGCTCTCTGGCATCTTATCAGAGCACTAATCCCATTCACCAGAGCTCCACTCTCAAGACCTAATCACCTCCCAAAGGCCCCACCCTCTAGTACCATCGCACTGGGGTATTAACAACGAAGGTGGGTTCCTATATTCACAACGTATGATATGGGGTTTCAACATAGGAATTTGGAGGAGACACAAAGATTGAGTTCATAACTGTACCTGCAACTCCCTGAATGTGATTCCCTGGAGAACGGTGTTGAGAAAGATTCTGAGTGCTTCTGGAATGGATTGGCAATGTCTTCCAGAAACACAAAATTAAGCAGAAGAAACCTGAATGCTCCGACTTGTTACCAGGGCCTCAGGACAAAAGGAATTTAATAGGGGACATTTCAGACAAGGTCACAGCCTGTGGAGAGTGGCCGTCAGGTGAAGCCAATGACAGCAGATGTGCTTTGTTGCAACATAAAGGGTACCTCACCGTGGTCCTGTTTTGAAGTGAGTTATTTGTTAGGTATTCGGTCTGAGGCTGCTAAGTATGACTTTATAATGATTTCTTCAACATACTAAAGTTTACTGTTATGCCACGTGGAAGCCAAAAATGGGAATCCCCTGTCTGGTGGGATCTGCTCCTCTGGGTCTGTGAACTACTTGAGCGGAGTCTGTTGTTGGTCTGTTGCTCTCGCCTCCCTTACCCACCCTTCTGACCTGCCAGTGGCGTTCTGCAGGCTCCCTGATGGCAGGGCACTGGGCAAGCCATTCTCTTCCCCCAGCGTCTTCACTGCAGCAGCTCCAAGTATCGGATCCACACACAGCGGTAACCCAAGAGGGAATGGCAGTGATGGACACTGCAGCCGTTTCCACACACCTGTCTCCATTTATCAGGGAGGACGGACAATATTTCCCAGATGCCCCTTACAGAGGTCCCCTTACACCCAGTTGGCCCAGTTGGGTTTTATGGCCAGTGTTGGCTCAAAAGGAGGCTGGAAGTGAAATCTAGCTTTCCTAACTTCTTTTTTGTTGTTGTTTTTATTTGAGAGAGAGAGAAAGCATGTGTGTGCATGCAAGAACGGAAGAGGGGCAGAGGTTAGGGGAGAGAGAGAGAGAGAGAGAAAGCATGTGTGCACATGCAAGAAGGGAAGAGGGGCAGAGGTTAGGGGAGAGAGAGGGAAAATCTCTAGCAGGCTCCATGCTCAGTGCAGAGCCTGACTTGGGGCTCAATCCCAGGAACCTGGGATCACAACCTGAGCTGAAATCAGGAGTCAGATGCTTAACTTGACCAAGCCACCCAGGCGCCCCTAGCTTTCCTAACTTCTGATGTAGACAACAGGCAGAGACCAGAAATGGCTGTGGAGTAAGCAACCAGTAGTGTCCACCCCGGTGACCCATTGATATGAAATGCAAAAAAAAAAAAAAGAAAGAAAGAAAGAAAAGACAAAGCAGTGACTTCACGCATGCAAAACATGCAACACAGTAGCTTGCAGGAAATCACTTCACTGCTCAGGAAACACTTTAATGCTCTAAGGAAAATCTCTGTGTCTGTCTATGTCTGTATCCATCCATCTGTCTCTATTTCTTTGTTGTTTTGGGCAGCAGACTGCTTTCAGTCTCCTCCGCCGATGTCTTTAGTTAGGTGAGGGATTTTATAAGCTCTTTGAAATAGGAGGTGAGGATCCTTCCAGAAGACACCAATGCCTTCTGCTATAGTTTGAATATTTGTGTCCCGCCGCCAAAATTCATAGGTTGAAATCCTAATGCCCAACGTGACCATATTCACCATATCCAAATGTTGGAGGTTTGGGAGACAATTAGATCGTGAGGGTGGAGTCCTCATGAATGAGGGCTTTTTTTTAATGTTTAAAAATATTTTAATGTTGCCTTCTTTTTTTGATGTTTATTTTCTTATTTTGAGGGAGAGAGAGAGAGAGAGAGAGAGAGAGAGAGAGAGACAAAGAATCCTAGCAGGCTGCACACTCAGCATGGAGCCTAACATGGGGCTCGATCCCATGACCCTGGTATCATGACCTGAGCCGAGATCATGAGTCAGATGCTTAACCAACTGAGCCACCCAAGCGCCCTGGAATTTGTGCCCTTCTACAAGAGGCCCCACATTGCTCTCTAGCCCCTTCCTCCTTGTGAGGACACAACGAGAAGTCCATGACCCAGAAGATGGCCCTCACCTGAACATGCTGGCACCCTGAACTTGGACTTCTAGCCTCTAAAACTGTGAAAAATGGATTTCTGTTGTTTGAAAGCCACCCAGTCTATGGCATTTTGTTAGGGCAGCCTGAAAAGGCTGACACTTTCTAAAGAGAGGGGACTGTTAACTGAAGGGCTTTGGTGTTGCCAAGTGGGCTATGCAAGTTCAAGTTCAGAGCTGAATTTTCCAGGAAAGCAAAAGATTTTGGAGACGGTATGTGAGCAAAAACCTGGTAGGGTATGTAAGGACTGGCAGCATGCGGAGGGCTTTTGAGACAAAACAAAAATGTCTAGTGGAGATTTCCATTAAGTTATTTGATGTGCACAGTGCACCATAAGCCCCTTTCTTTGTCTCTTCATGATTGTGTCAGTATAATCCACCTCATTTGCTGGTGTTTTTGAGACAGATTTAAATTTTTAGGTTGAATAGCTGTGCTGAGATCTGCTTTGAACTGGCATGAATCCAATCCAGAGGGGGCCATGAAAAGACAGTCACGGGTATGAGCGATGTAATTAAAAAAGAAAAAGAAGGAGGGGCGTCTGGGTGGCTCAGTCCATTAAGTGGCCGACTCTTGATTTCAGCTCAGGTCGTGGGGTTCAGTTCCTGAGTTAGAGCCCCCTGTGAGCTCTGCACTCACAGCTGGGAGGCTGCTTCGGGAATCTCTGCCGCCCTCTCTCTGCTCTTTCCCCACTAGCATTCTTTCTCTCTCTCTCTCCCTCTCTCTCTCTCTATCTGACACACACACACACACACACAAATAAATAAATAAATAAATAAATAAATAAATAAATAAATGTTAAAGAAGAAAAAGAAGGAAAAGGCAGGATGTATCATACCCTCCATTCACTTTAAACCGGGGAGGTTAACAAGGATTGCTTTCAGTTTTTGACTCCACCCTATGAAAAGAGACAACGAGTAACACACTAGTGTGTTTCTTACATTTGCAGCTGGGAAGAGAATGTCTTTGTGTATGACCTTGTGAACAGCTGTGTGCCTGGGATCCCAGCTGACGTCTGGACGGGGCTTCATGATCACAGACAGGTAAGGACGCAATGGCCACCAGGCCCCCTTGGAAGCGCCAGCCAGGATGCCATTTTGATTTCACCAGCCTCTCACCTGGAGCGCATATGGCGGGTCGCTGCAGCGTGGCCAGCACGTGGGGAGAAACCAGACACCAGGATGCCCCCGTTAGAAGGTCGTGTTGTGAAAGAGTACGTGACAGGGGCATCGGAGGGTCAGGGAAGGCCTCTTTTTGGGTTTGAGTTCTCAAAAAAGTAGACACAAAAACGTGATGAGATGTGTAAAATATTTCCGAGGGGAACGATCTGTGAAGGAAGAAAGAGGGGGCATAAGTCTGATGACAGCACTATTCTGAGACCGGCTCGGCTAGGCCAGTGGCCATTAGAGGAACCCCGCCTGGGGCAGGAATGGGCCGGCACTAGCACCCCTGAGTACCTGCTGAGTCCCCCACTGACCAGCCTGGTCTCACTGTGAACGCAGTGATAAATCGGAAGGGGCCGGGGAGCTGAGGCTGTGCGTGGGCTCTGCTCCCTGGAGCTGGTCCTCCTGAGGGAGTTCTAAGCAGTGCACTTCCACGGCTGCCACAGCCTCATTACATTAAAGACATTTAAGCTAGTATCTAATGGATAAATAGGAGTCAGCCAGAGGAAGAACATTCCAGCTAGAGGGAATAACACGAGCGAAGGTCCTGAGGCGTGAGAGATCATGACCCACTGGAGGACATTAAAGACAGGTGGGTCTGGGATGCAGAGTGGGGCAAGGGTCAGTGGAATAATGGTGAAGAGCAAGACCAGAAAGGATAGCTTGAGCCAGATCTCACGCCTGTCAATATCACAGCAGACTCCCCCTGGGAATTGTGTCCCCGAACTTTCCCTGTCTCTGTTTTGCATGTATGCTACGGGCCCTGTCCCCAGAATACTGCGGGGAATAGGGCTTCCGTTCCAGCCCCCGTCCTGCGCTTACTGGCTGGGAGGGGATGTGGGGCAATCTTTTTTTTTTTTTTTAACCTCTCTGAGCTTCAGTTTCCTCAGCTATAAAATGGGAGTAATGATAAAAGTGCCTTGTTGTGAAAAGTAAATGAGCTTAACCTAGTGCTTGGGACACTGTAAGACCTCATTAAGGCCAGTAGAAGTCACTGTGAAACAGAAGCAACAGTAGTAGCCAGACTCAACAGAGATCTATATATTTTTAGATCAATAGAATTCATCTTGCAAGAACCTATATAGAAGTTGTAATTGAAAAAAACAAACCGACAAGGGGCACCTGAGTAGCCCACTCGGTTACGTGTCCTTCTTCGGCTCAGGCTGTCATCTGATGGTTCATGAGTTTGAGCCCCGCATCAGGCTCACTGCTGTCAGTACAGTACCTGCTTGGATCCTCGGTCCCCTTCTCTCTCTCTGCACTTCCCCCGCTCACACTCTGTCTCTCAAAAATAAACATTTAGAAAATAAAATCACAAAACTTCTATTTGTAATAGTAACTTTAAAATGGGATTATAGGGTCATCTGGGTGGCTGAGTCAGTTGAGTGTCCAATTTCAGCTCAGACTGTGATCTCGCTGTTAGTGGGTTCAAGCCCCACGTCAGGTTTTGTGTTCACGGTGTGGAGCCTGCTTCAGATCCTCTCTCTCCCTCTCTCTCTGCCCCTCCCTCACTCTATCTCAAAAATAAATAAATAAATGGGATTATAGGGGTGTCTGGCTGGCTCAGTCAGAAGAACATGTGACTCTTGATCTCCAGGTCGTGAGTGTGAACCCCACGTTGAGTATAGAAATTACTTAAATAAATAAACGTGGGCAAAAAAAGAAAACAGGATTATAACTTATAATATTTAAGGATAGTAATAAACAATACAGTAAAAGGGCTTGTTTTTTAAAATCTTCCTTGCAGGGCGAGGCACCATGTGCGGGGCACTAGCTAAGCCCTTTGCATGCTTTACTTCATCACTGCTCACGATAGCTTTCTGAGGGAGAGATTAGCTCCACTGTAAAGGTGTGGAAACTGAGGCTGGGGAGGTTAAGTAACCTGGCCAGATGGCTGTGAGGAAGTGGATCGAGTCAAGCCCTGGCCTCTCTGTCAGAAGCGGCATGCTGTTTCCATTATCTGACGCCACCTCCGTAATCATCAGTCTTTAGGGGAGACTTTTCTGAGGACTTGAATAAATGCAGAAATGACTCGTGTTCCAGAACATTGTGAGGATGTAGTTCTTTCCACAGTTAATTTGCACATTTATTTTAACACCAATCAAATTCCCAACGGGAGTTTTCTTGTTATTGGACAGAGTAGTCCCACACCAGGCAAGAAAAATACACACTACACGGAAGAAAGGAAAGAAATGAAGGGTGACCTCCGACCGCTGGTAAATTAAAAAAAAAAAAAGTGTAGTAGTTAAGTCTTGGGCACGGAGTCTCACAGACCTGAGTTTGAATGCCAGGACTGATGCTTTATTTAGCTGTGTGAATTTGGCTAGGCCAATCTAAGTCTGAGTTTTCTCATCTGTGAAATGGACATGAGGATGCCCGCTTGGAGGACAGTGGGGAGAAAATGAATAAAGCCTCGGCATGGCAACTAACAAACCTTCAATAAACAGCAGCCAGTAAGTGGTGGTAATAACAGCAGTATCTCACAACAAGCTGAGGACTCTTTTTTTAAAATATTTTATTTATTTTTTATTTTTTTAGTGTTTTATTTATTTCTAGGAGAAAGAGAGAGAGAGAGAGACAGCGTGAGCAGGGGAGGGTCAGAGAGAGAGGGAGTCACAGACTGAAACAGGCTCCAGGCTCTGAGCTGGCAGTCAGCACAGAGCCCGACGCGAGTCTCGAACCCACGAACCGCGAGATCATGACCTAAGCGAAAGTCGGATGCTTAACCCCTTTTAAATATTTTAATGTTTATTTACTTTTGAAGGAGAGAGAGACAGAGCATGAGCAGGGGAGGGGCAGAGAGAGAGGGAGACAAAGAATCAGAAGCAGGCTCCAGGCTTTGAGCTGGTGGGGCTTGAACTCAGGAACCTTGAGATCATGACTTGGGCCGAAGTGGAATGCTTAACTGACTGGGCCACCCAGGTGCCCCAGGACTTTTGTTTAAAGCTTATTTACTTATTTATTTTAAGGTTTTTTGAGAGAGAGCACGCGCGCCCACGAGTGGGGGAGGGGCAGAGAGAGAGGGAGAGAGAGAATGCCGAGCAGGCAGGGCTCGATCCCACAAGCTATGAGATCTTGACCTGAGCCGAAAGCAGGAGTCCAAGGCTCAACGGACTGAGCCCCCCATCCCCACCCCCAGGCGTCCCCGAAGTGAGGACTTCTGCACTGTTCCGTGTCGAGGTGTTAGAATGTCATCCCCGAGCTGGGGCTGGCTGTGACGCCAGGTCTTTCTCTCCGGGACTGGCTTCCCAGGAAGGGCGGTTTGAATGGACCGACGGCTCCTCCTACGACTACAGCTACTGGGACGGGAGCCAGCCGGATGACGGCGTCCACGAGGACCCGGAAGAGGACTGCGTGCAGATATGGTACCGGCCCACCAGCGGTGAGTGCCCGCGAGATCGGGGCTCTTGCAGGGGTGCTGGGGAGGAGCCAGGATGGCCGGGAGATGGGTGCATCAGGGGGCTGGTGGGGGCGGAGTGGGCGGGGCTAGGGCGGGCCCTTCTCCGCAGAGGCTACAGTTTAAACAGTATGTAGTGGGGCACTGCTGGCCTGCAGACTGTGCTGGGGTTAAAAAGACAGAGGCCGAAGCCTGGGACAGGTTAAAGGGGCGGGGCTCGGACAGACTAGGGTGGTGCTTCTATGTCAGCTCACCGGCGCCCTGGAGCGCCAGCGCCCAGGCCCCGTGCTCCTGACCCTGAGAGCAGAGGCACGCCTGGAGAAGCACCCAGGTCTAAGTAGTGAAAAGAATGCACACCTGGGTCCCAGCCTAGCCTTGCTGCTTTCTAGCTCTGGGTCCTTGCAGGGAATCCCATATTCACGCTGAGATTCCGTTTCCTCTTCTGTAAAGTGGATTTAGTAACCGTTCCTACCGGCAGAGCAGATGTGACGATTATAGAAGGTACAGTTGGTCCAGCATGAATGCTCTTCTCGGAACCCCAGCTCGACCCCTTGTCAATTGTGTGGCCCAAAGTGAATGCCTTAACCTCTTGGTGGCTCACACAGTCTTCATCTGCAAAATGGGCTAGTGGTACTTAACTCACGAGATTGCTGTGAAGAAGAAAGAAGTGAATGCGCATTAAGTGGCCACAATGGTTTGCATGTGGTGTTAAGCAATCACCGCCCTCAGCGTTAATATCATCACTCATCAACCTAATCTGGAGACGTAAAAACGATTAATATTCTCATTTTGCAGATGAAGAAATGGAAGCTCAGAGATGTTAAGCCATTTGTTCGTGGTCACACGGCGAGTAGTGAAGCAGGTTTCAAACATGGATCTATCAAAGTCCAGATTCAAGCACTTAACTGCTGCCCTTTCTCTTTTCCTGATTCGAAGAGGGAGGAAACAGGGACTTGCTATCCTGGGAGACAGTCTGGAGCGTGGGAGTCGGAGCTGGGCCAAGCCTCTGGGTGAAGGGTGTCCCGCCCCTCCACAGTGGCAGGTGAAGACCAGCTTTATGAGAGAGAAGGGCTGCACAGCAGCCTCATCACGCATCAGCAAGAGAGGGCTGCCAGTGCAGACATGAGGCCACCGGAGAGGGCTTTTACTCCAGTGGGGAGGTGAGGTGACTTTTACTGTGGTAGGTGGACCCTCACCCAGATTCTGTGCTTCTTCCCACCGCAGCTCTGAGGTCATGGAATGATAACACCTGCAGCCTCAAGTTCCCCTTTGTCTGCAAGATTGCTTCTCTGACCATTCACTGATCCTGTCTTGTCCCTCAAAGTGAGCCCAACTCCAGCACATCATGTACCTATACCTAGTGTGGATCTGACACTAAATAAATGTAAGCCCCAGAAGAGATAAAGCTCCCAGGCAGAGATTTTTTTTTTAACTTGTACTGTGTATTTTTATTTATTTTGAGAGAGAGAGAAGGAGAGAGGCAGAGACAGAGAGGGAGAGAGAGGGAGAGAGAGAATCCCAAGCCGGCTCCATACGGTTAGCACAGAGTGCACCATGGGCCTCAATCTCTTGAACCATGAGATCATGACCTGAGCCAAAATCAAGAGTCAGATGCTTAACCGACTGAGCCACCCAGACATCACCCCAGGCAGAGATTTTAAATAAGCGAGTCTTAATGATACAAAGTGGTTACTTGGTCACATTGAAACTGGCTTAATTAATAAACAGGGGTGGTGGATCTCTGCTCCAAGCAACACAAATCCAAGGTTGTTTGAGATTCAGAGTTGAACTTCACTGGCCTGGCTCAGTCACACGCCTATTCCACTTTGGCAAACGCTGTTTGGTTAAACCCTCTTAGATGTCCATCTTTGGGGCAGAGAGTGGTGGAAGTCAAATCATCTGAACCACATGGGCCCAAAGAGGAGAGAGGTTCCCCCCAAAAACCATAAATATCAACAAATGTACACATCGCTGGTGGAAATATAACATGGTGAAGCCATTCTGGAAAACTGTATGGTGCTTCCCCAAAAAGTTCCATATACAATTCCCACAGGACCCAGCAATCCCGATTCTGGGTCTATGCCCAATAGTACTGGAGACAGGTATTCAGACGTGAGGGGTCAGAGCAGCATTATTCCTAATGGCCCCTCATGTGGAAACATCCTTGGGAGGCACCACCCGGATGACCTCATCCCGTGTGTCAGGGTCCCAACTGGTGCCCTGACCACAGTGTAACACGCTGCCTCCTTGGGAGCTTAGCTGCCTTTGCAGTTTGGTCACCCTGAGCCTCGGGCTTGGTCTGCCCTCCTGCTAACGTGTTTGTCTGCAACCCCTCTGGCTTTCACTTCTAGAGCAAGGCCTGTTACTTGTCCTTGGCTGTTGAGTGTCCTGCTAAGCCTTCTAGCAATAGCCGTCCAACCTAGTTAGGCTTAGGGGTGCTCTTCTCTCCGCTCATCAACTACCTGATGCATGGCTCCTGCCAGGGCATCCCCTCCCCCGAAGCCCCCCCCCCCCCCAGCTCACTCCATGGAGGTTCAGACCACCTCGTGCCAGAGGCTGTGCTCCACCCACCGCTCCTGATTGCCGGCCTAGAGCGGGGGAGTCCAGGCCCTAAGCCCCATCTTGTGGCTTTTTCAGACTGCTCCCGGGATTGCTGGTTCTAGACTGGGGTTTTTGGCAACGTTTGCTGAGACAGAGTTTGGAATAGAGATTGTGTATTTGGAACCAGTACCTGTGAAGAGGAAGGAGAGGAACTGAGGTGCGGTCTGGCAAATTATCAGCCAACCTGGCAGGGAGACCCAGGAGGAACACTGGGCGTCGGAGTGGACCACGTAGGGCTCACGTGGCCAGGCCTGTAGACCCATACTTCACTCAGTCAGTGATGCAAGCTTTCCCAGAGAGGATGTGATTTCTCTGTGGCCGCAGGTGCCCCTGAAGGAGCTGATAGCTGAAAGCTCTCTGTCCTCGTCCTTGAAGGGGGCATCTGGGTGGTACATCTCCGTGTCATCACAACTGGAATCAAAGACACAGGTTCAGATCCCACCACATCACCTTACTGTGTGACCTCACGTAAGTGGTTTAACCTCCCTGAATTTCAGTTTTCTCGTGTGTAAAATGGAGATACATTCCCCTCCAGCTCTGACTGTGATGTATCAGGTGGCTTTGGGGAATGAGAAGCTCAGGCGGCTTTGGGGAATGAGGAGCTCAGGCCAAGTGACTTTTCCAGAAAACTAAAACTCTTTCCACAAGTGTCACAACTCTCTCTGTTTTTTCTCCTTTGGATGGGAGTCTTTCTAAACCATGTTATACATTTCCCTGCTTCCTCAACAGATGATACCAACAAGATTAGCCTTTCCTTGATGATTCAGGGTCATGTGCACTTCATCTGCTTCAGGTATTTTTGTCGTCTGTCATATCTGGGTGTCACGGTGCCAGTCTCTGACAGCCCACAGAATCTCCCATCTTTTCTAGACTGTTGCTGCTGAGACACTGTGGGCAGGGAAGCCAGGCAACCAAACCTGAGAATAATCCTGAAGGGGGGGGTGGGGAAGAGGGGGAGATAGATCAATGATGGATGCATGGATAGATGGACAGATGGGTAAATGGATGGATGGATGATACATGGATGGATAGAGGGAGGGGTGGAAACAATCAGGAGATATTTTTAGAGAGACCTAGATGATAGATAGATAGATAGATAGATAGATAGATAGATAGATAGATAGGCAGGCAGGGAGGCTGGAGCTCATGACCATAAATATATATCACCTATAGGATCATCGCAGATGAAGCCTACGATCCCAGAGTGTGGATGTATCAAAATGTATTTAACACTCCTATTGTTAGTCTTTTAGGTACCATCTAATTTTTCACTCTTACAAATAACGCAGTGACATGCATCTCTGTATACATGTTCAATTATTTTCTTGGGGATATATTCCTAGAAGTGGAATTACCAGTTCAAAGTGTATGCACATGGTAAAAATGGGATTACTTTTTTATTATAAAAATATGCATGTGGACTGCAAAACCATATACAGAGAAAGGTTTCTTTGGTTGTGTGTGTATCTCCCATAATTGCACCAGCCAGAGTTAACCACTGCTGAGGCTTTAATAGTGGTTTCTGGGTGTGTGTCCCCTGACCACCACGAGAACGCACCTCGGGGCCCTCCTGTTGAAATCCATTTTGTTCGCTCTGAGGCCTCACCTCCCATAGGCTGTTCCCAGGCAATGACTAAGTGAGGCAGAGTCCTGAGGCAGCCCTGTTCCTTGGGGGGAACATTCCCCTGTTGGTGGACTTTGGCTCAGAGACACCGATGGCCTTGCTGAACTTGGCTTAGACTACAGGCCAGTCTAGGATGCCTCCACCATCTGTCCTTCACTGCAGGGGGTGGGGGGGTCCAGACTTGCATCCCAGGCTGAGACCTCTCCCAACCCTCCCTGGCCCCCCATATTTTCTTTCACAAAGGCATTTTCTCTCATAAAATCCTTGCACACTTAATCCATCTTGTTGCCTGCTCCTCGGAGGACCAGACAGCCCCTCAAAAGTCTGTACTAATGTATACTCATCCCTGCAGTGTATGAGAGCCCCTCTTCACCCACACTCTTGCCAGCACATTGATCCCCACCTTCAGACTGAGCCTCCAATGAGCAGGTAGATACTCCTTCCGCTCCCTTGCCAGTCCTCAGAGCAAGTGCATCGTCGAGGCTGTTTGATTGCTAGTGACAGAAAATGCACCCCAAACTGCCTTAAACACAAAAGGCTTTGATTTACTGATTGAGTTGCAAAGTCCAGAGGTGACCAGCTTCAGGCTCAGCTTGATCCAGGGGCTTAAATGATATTGCCAGAGATATTTGTCTCCCTTGTTCTGCCTCCATGGCATTGGCTTGATCCTGAAGCTCCCGTCTCTCCACCTAGGAAAGCAGAAATGGCCAGTATAATTCTCCATCTTACATCCTTCAGGAGAAGGAGGGCTGTCTCTTTCCTAGAAGCCCTAGCAACCATCTCCCTTCATATCATTGGCTGTAGCTGGGTTTTTTGGCCAACTCAGCCAATCACTGTGGCCAGGAAGTAAAGGAGCTTGATTGCTGAAGCCAATCACGGTCTGTGCAGTCAAGCCTGAGAACTGAAGAGACATGACTTTCCAGCAGGAATTGGAGGCGTGGTTTATCAAAAAAGAGCTGTGGAAGCCATACTGATAACAAGATGATATATCTCGAGTACAAGAGAGTAATGAGGAACCGACTCTAAATTTCAAACTGGGAGGAAGGTTGAAAGCAGAAAGCTAACTGCAGCCTCAGGGTCATCTTCTCAGGGAAGAGCAAGACCCCATCCCACTCCCGTGAAGAGCCTTTGGAGGGGGTAGTATTTGTTTCCTATTCTTAGCTCCTAAGAAGTAGGATATTCTCTGTGGCGCTGGGAAAGAGAATCAGGAGATGTATCAGCTGTCAGAATGAACACGTGGGGCATAGTGGTTTGCCCAATTTGAAGGATAATAGTAATAACATTTTTTTTAAAAAGCAGGGGAGTCAGACCTCTGTTATTTTGAAGCAAATTCCAGAGCCAACAGCCCAGCATGCATCTTTTTAAGGAGACTCTGACCAGCTGGGGAATTCTCTTGAGGAAGCCAGTCCTCACAAACACACCATATTAGACGATTCCAGGGCTTTCTTTTCCAGCCCAGGGGTGGCCACACAGAACTTCTTCCTAACATCTACTGACTGTTAGGGACCTCAGCCATGAAGGCCGATGCAATCCTCCCAACGACCCCACAACAAGGGCTCTGCTGAGCCTCAAAGTGAGGGTCCTGGGCTCGGGGTCAGATTCATGGCTCAGGCCTCCAATGCAGCACTTGCAACATGTAACCTTGGCCAAGCTGCTTCGCCTCACCAGGCTTCCATCTGGAAATGCGAATGGGAATGCCAACACTCCTATAAGGCTGGGAGGAGTGAGATGCTCCACGAAAAGTGCTCACACAGTGGCACATAGTAGACACCTAATAAATATTCGCTGTCATTATGTTGATTGCTATTCCCACTGCATCAGCTAGGACAGGGATAGGATACCGCCTATTTAGCATTCAACCTGGGTGACTTTTGCACCTATTGTGAGTACCCGAGACTGTCTTTGTTGCCACAGACCTTCCTTCTGGGACATTGTGATCCCTAGGGGGTATTCATTCCTGTTTATCTCCTCAAAGGAAGAAACCTTTCAATGCACGTGTGCAGCCCTGAAGTCCTGGTCCTCTGGGCTCATGTTAATATCACTGGTGAGCCTGAGCTGTCCCCTTTCCCGGCTGCCGGACCACTGGTGGGGACCCAGGCACACAGCTCTGCTGGAACCTGGCATCAAGGCAGCCGTCTGCTCACCTGAGACAGAGCCCCCCCCCGGGCAGGCAC